CCACGGGGCCGGGGGCTGGCTCTGCCTGGGGAGAGAAACCAGCCAGGGGTTGATAAATTACATAAAAATCCTTCAGGGATTGGTGAAATGTCCTTAGGGATTGGTAAATTAAATAAAACCCTCCAGGGATTGCTAAAAAAGCTGCACGCTGAAAGGGAGGAACCCACGGGGCCGGGGACTGGCTCTGCCTGGGGAGAGAAAATGGCATTGAGGCATTGGTAAATCACATAAAACTCTTTAGAGATTGGTGAAATGTCCCTAGGGATTGGTGAAATGTCCTTAGGGATTGGTAAATTAAATAAAACCCTTCAGGGATTGCTAAAAAAGCTGCACACTGAACGGGGGCGGCAGCCACGGGGCCGGGGGCTGGCTCTGCCTGGGGAGAGAAACCAGCCAGGGATTGGTGAATTGTCCTTAGGGATTGGTGAAAAATTAAATAAAACCCTTTAGGGATTGGTGAAATGTCCTTAATTAAATAAAATCCTTTAGGGATTGGTGAAATGTCCTTAGGGATTGCTAAATTATCCTTTAGGGATTGCTAAATTAAATAAAACCCTTTAAGAATTGCTAAAAGCTCCACACTGAAAGGAGGGGCACCCACGGGGCCGGGGGCTGGCTCTGCCTGGGGAGAGAAACCAGCCAGGGGTTGATAAATTACATAAAAATCCTTCAGGGATTGGTGAAATGTCCTTAGGATTGGTAAATTATCCTTTAGGGATTGCTAAATTAAATTAAATTAAAATCCTTCAGGGATTGGTGAAATGTCCTTAGGGATTGCTAAATTATCCTTCAGGGATTGGTAAATTAAATAAAACCCTTTAGGGATTGCTAAAATATCCCTCAGGGATCCCTAAATAAGGCCTGGAGGTTGTGGGGAAGGGCTCTGGGGGGATTTGGGGTGATGGGGGGGCACTCACTGGGATGTCCCCCCCTCACTGGGATGTCCCACCTCTCTGGGATGTCCCCACTCACTGGGATGTCCCCCATTCCCGGGATGTCCCCCGTCCCCGGGATGTCCTCACTCACTGGGATGTCCCCAGGATGTCCCCCGTCCCCGGGGTGTCCCCCGTCCCCGGGGTGTCCCCCGTCCCCGGGGTGTCCCCCGTCCCCGGGGTGTCCCCAGGTCCCCTCCCACAGGCCCAGGGCTGCTCTCGGTGCTCAGCACTCACCCAAAGCCCTGCTGGCTCCAGGCTTGGCCGTACACGCCGTAGGGGGGCACCTGCCAGCCGTTGGGCACGTACTGGCCCAGCTGGGCAGCGCCGTACCACTGAGCCCACTGCCCGTAGGCCGGCGGGTAGCTCAGCGCGCCCTGCGGACACACGGCACGTCAGCGGCGGCGGGGCGCGGCAGGGATCCATCCACACATGGATCCACCATCCATGGATCCAG